TCTTATACTTTTTTTGTTTATGTTATTCATGTATCTAAACCACCAACAAAAACACCCTGCCCAAAACATTTGTTTGACTGTTTTTCAAATTTACTGCCATTGAGGATAAGCTGATAACGATCAATGCAGAATAGTTATATAATAATTGCATAACAAAAGTAACTAGTATAGACAATGGAAACACCTTAAACCTTAAGTGGTGACATCGTTTTCTTCTTTTTTCCTGTTTCTTCTCCAAACCTTGGAATAACCCTGCAACAACAAATAAGAAGTAAAGAACAGATATAACTGAAATTTAATAATTGTATTCAAATGCTAATCTGAAAAAATAACAAGAGAGTGGCAAGCTAGCAAACCCATCACCTGAGCCTTTTGGGGTTATATGGTGGAAGGTTGTAGAACATGGGCGACTCATATTCTGGGATAGTAAAGGTTATCAACCGTAGATATCTAGTTGGGCTTTTGGGGGAAAATATACAAAATATGACAGATTGAAAGAGGGAATCAACTGATTGGTAAAAGATCGCCATATGAGATTATGTTTTCGGAGGTTTTGATATGTGACTACGGTAGAGTATGAAAGACACGATGCAGTCATTGATAGGGTAGAAGGTGAAAGAGACCTTTGGCGTGAAAAATAAAGAAAGTCCCGCCTTCCACTAAATTAGTTTTTTCTATAATATTTGATGTTATAAAAAAGTTATTTATATGCATTTCTATTTAATATCTATCAATTAGATAAACGATTTTTAGCTACTCATATAACAAATAATATAATTTGTTTTAGGATTAAAACCCAATCAAAATAACAATGGATTAATAATAATAATAATAATAATAATAATAATAATAATAATAATAATATCTTATTTTATTACATAATTCGTTATATGACTTATTTACTGTTTGTTTGAATATTGCAGGAACTTATTGAATCATCAAATAATACATTACTCATCTTGTCTAACAAGTGAAGATAAGGTATTTTTATTACTTTCAAACACTCAGTCATATTTTAGTAAGATTAAATTTGTATTAGGTAAATTACAAATGCCTTTAGATGTATTCTTAGTCTTACATGCATGTTATTAATATATGGTTTATGTAATAACAGATGGATAGAATTAAATGTTCATGTGATGAATATTTGGCATGTTTGGGTGGTTTTCTTAAAGCTGCAGAGGAAAATCAGGTGAATAAAGGAGAAAGCTACATATGGTGTCCTTGTGTAGATTGTCAGAACTGTCGTATGTACAATAATTCTGCCAAAGTACAGGAACATATAATAATTCGTGGGTTTATGAGAGATTATATATGTTGGTCACGACATGGGGAGACATTGGTTAATCGTAATGAGGTTGTTTCAGAGTTTAATGATGATAACAATGATTCAAACAATGACAAGTACGATGACTTATCTGGAATGTTACATGATTGGGAGGACAATGTCGTTGAAAAGGATTATGAACATTTTCAACAATTATTGACGACTCAGAAAAACTGTTGTATACCGGGTGTATGAAGTATACCAAACTATCTGCTGTTTTGAAACTATTTAACCTAAAAGCAAACAATGGTTGGAGTGATACAAGTTTCACAAATCTTCTAAAGATTTTGAATGATATGCTTCCTCAAGATAACGAGTTACCTATTTCAACATATCAAGCAAAAAAACTAATGTGTCCAATGGGAATGGAAATCGAAAGAATACATGCATGTCCAAAAGACTGTATGTTATATAGAAACCAGTATGCAGATCTAGATAAGTGTATCACATGCAGTACATCACGGTATAAGCAGAATAATCATACAGAAGAAACCATTGATGTGAAAAAGAACCACCTGCTAAAGTATTGTGGTATTTGCCTATTGTGCCTAGATTAAAGTGGTTATTTGCAAACGCCAAAGATGCAAAATTAATACGATGGCATGCCGATCGTAAAATAGAGGAAAAAATAGGACATGTGGCTGATTCCCCTCGATGGAGAAATATTAATTCCAGTTTTAAAGAATTTGGTCAAGAGATTAGAAATATTCGGTTCGGACTTAGTTCTGATGGAATTAATCCATTTGGAAGCCTAAGTAATCGTCATAGTACATGGTCGGTTCTTCTTTGTATCTACAATCTCCCACCTTGGTTATGCATGAAAAGAAGATACATCATGATGTCATTACTAATTCAAGGTCCAAAACATTCGGGAAATGATATCGATGTTTATTTAGCTCCATTAATTGAGGACATGAAAAAATTGTGGAGTCCGGGTGTCGAAGTGTATGATGCATATAGTGGGGAAAATTTCCAACTTCGGGCCATGATTTATTGCACAATAAATGATTTTCCAGCATATGGGAATTTGTCTGGATACAGCACAAAAGGAGCAAATGCATGCCCAATTTGTGAAGATGACACACAGTCGTTATGGTTGTCAAATTGCAAGAAAAATGTATATATGGATCATCGAAGATATCTTCCAAAAAATCACCCATATCGCAAGAAAAAAAAGGTGTTCAATGGTAAAACTGAGGAGAGGACAGCAAGGAAACCATTACGAGGAGAGACTGTATTTTCTCGTGTTGAAAATCTAAACGTTATATTCGGAAAATTCAAAGGTAATGGTAAAGGAAAACATAAACGTAAACGTACAGGTACAACTCCTCCCAAAAATTATTTGGAAGAAAAGATCTATATTTTGGGAGTTACCATATTAGAAGCACTTGCAGGTTCGCCATTGTCTTGACGTTATGCATATTGAAAAAAATGTTTGTGAAAGCTTGATAGCCTTATTGTTGAACATCAAGGGAAAGTCAAAAGACGGGATTAATGTTCGAGAAGACATGGTTGAAATGGGAATTCGCCCCGAGCTTGCTCCTATTAGGAATCCTGGAAAGTGTACGTATCTGCCTGTAGCTTGTTATACCATGTCAAAGGATGAGAAAACAAAATTTTGTAAGTGCTTACATGGTGTAAAGGTTCCATCAGGGTATTCTACTAACATTAAGAAGTTAGTGTCAATGAAAGAACTAAAACTATTTGGTATGAAGTCCCATGATTGTCATGTTTTAATGTCACATATGATTCCCATTGCAATTCGTGGAATACTACCAGACCGCATTCGACACACAATCACAAAGCTATGCTTGTTTTTCAACATGATTCATTCTAAAGTTATTGATCCCGAGGTATTAGATTCATGGGAAAGTGATATTATCTTGACATTATGCCAACTCGAGATGTATTTCCCACCTTCGTTTTTTGATGTCATGGTTCATCTGACATCTCATATTGTTAGAGAGATAAAGTATTGTGGGCCAGTATTCTTACGATACATGTATCCATTTGAGAGATATATGGGCGTCTTAAAAGGGTATGTAAGGAATAGGCATCGACCAGAGGGTAGTATTGTTGAAGGATACGCAACAGAGGAGGTAATTGAATATTGTACTGACTATCTACAAGGTGTTGATAGTATTGGCGTTCCAAAATCTCGACACAAGGGTAGACTTGTAGGGAGTGGGACAATTGGATTGAAAAAGATCATTCCAAATCGAGAAGATTTACAACTTGCACATTTTACAGTCCTACAACATATGACAATCATTGCTCCATATATAAATGAGCACAAAAGAACACTAGAGATGTCAAATCATGGTAGGAGCAATAGATGGTTGGTTAAGGAGCATAACAAAACGTTCTCACGATGGTTAAAAGACAAAGTGAGAGCAAGTTATGGCATCGATAGTGTGGATCAAGCTGTAGTACATCTGGGGAATGGTCCTGAAGATCTTGTGGCAACGTACCAAGGATACGACATTAATGGTTATACATTTTACACTAATCAACAAGATAGAAAAAGTGCACTCCAAAATAGTGGTGTAACAGTAATAGCCTCGACTGAAGTATATGGAGATAGTCATGATACAAGGGTGAGGATCGCCAAAGAATCATATTATGGTGTCATTCAGGAAATATGGGAATTGAAATATGATTCCATCATTATACTTATGTTAAAATGCAAATGGGTTGACAACCAACGAGGTGTTAAAGTTGACAATGATGGTTTTACAGTTGTTGACCTTTCCACAAACGGTTATGTATCAGAACCATTCATTTTAGCTAAACAAGCTACCCAGGTATTCTATGTTGAGGACCCAAAGGAATCGGGAAAGCACATCGTCATGCATAGCAAACGACATATACTTGGTGTTGATGATGTTGTGGACGAGGAAGAGTACGAACAGTTTGATGAACTACCCCCATTTTCTATCGGCATTCCATCTTCAAAATGATGATGTTGATGACACCACTTACTTACGGTCAGATCACAATGAAGGAATATGGATATCATAACCCATATCTGGGGCAAAATGAAGAGGTTTTGGGTGAGGTCTCAGACATAGATAAGACAAAGATATGATTTACGATGAGACGTGACATTATTTAATATGTTTTAGTATCGTTTGAATTTTAATTATTTTTGTTTGTATTAATGTTTTAGTTGGAACATGTTTCCATGGATGTTTTTAATTTTCATTTGGATGTTTAAGACTTAAGTTTCTAAAATTCGGATATGTTTGCATCAAGAACTTATTCATGTTTAATTATCAATTTTATTTATGGAATCTCACCCACGAACCCAAATCTGGCCCACGAACCTATGAAACCCAAATCTGACCCACGAACCTGTGAACCCAAATCTGACCTACGAACTTGCCAGCCTGTGAACTTATATAAATACGTGGGTTGACTGGTTATATATGGGTTTATATTCTAAACCCGCCAACCCATGACCTTTATAGTTAAATGGGTCGTGTTCGGGTTGATATATTTTGACTTGCCAACCCGCAACCCACCAACTCGATCACGACACGATTGTCAGGGGCAAAAACGTCAAAGGCACCAAAAATGCACCAAATTACCAAACTAGTAAAGCATAACTGCATGTGTCAAGACCACCAAGTCAAACCAACCAAAACAAAAACAACCGGAGACCGATAAATGCATGTGTCATGTCACACCCTCGAATAATGTGTGCTTTGGTGTTCAAAACAATAGTTCTGGCTCGACGTCGACATCTGATGCTTTAGATACGATAAAGGTAATTCTTTATTATAGCATCAACCTTTAACAACTAATAAAATCCACAACTCAATGAGTCAATTTATTTATTTTTATCACTAATTCTAGTTGATTACATTTATTATAATTATGTGGTACAAGTTGGGAAAAGAGTAATAAAATTCACTTGTTTATTGTTTCGGGCAAAACAAAGTATGAAAATAGATACATAATTGAGTAAGAGTTGATGACTGATCATAGTCTTCTATAATGTCCAACTGTTTCAAAAAAGCTACAAAATATTCCCCTGTATGTGTTATGTATCTGCTGTACAGAGCAAACAATAAAACTAGATAAATAGAACTTGTGTAAAAATTACAGAATGGTCCCTATGTTACAGCAATTACAGAAATGGTCCCTGTAGTTTTTTCTACAGAAATGGTCCCCTATAAGTTTTTTTACAGAAATGATCCCTGTAAGAAACAATTACAAATCCTTGAATTTACAAAAGAAGGCACTATGCAGAAAAAATTACAAAAAAGGTACCTCTAATGTATAGAAATGCAGAATTTAGCATATTTTTTTGTTTTAATGTGTTAGGTTTATGTTTTTAGAATTTCTTGATATCATATGACTTTGAACTTTGCTGTCAAATTATGTTTTACATCGAATTTTCTAACATATTGACACATGAAATACACTACATGCTATATGATTGCAAACTATTACTTATTTTGATTTGGTGTTATCTTATGGTGATATGAACCAAAAGTGTATAGAAATGCAGAACTGGTCACTATGTTATACAAATGTACAATAATGGTCCATGTGTGATAGAAAATATATTAAAATAGTTCCAAACTTTTGTATTTAGCATATTTTTCTGTTTTAATGTGTTAGGTTTATGTTTTTTGAATTTCTTGATATCATTTTACTCTGAACTTTGCTGTGAAATTATGTATTATATCAAATTTTCTAACATGCTGACACATGAAATACACTACATGTTATATGATTGCAGACTATTACTCATTGTGATTTGGTGTTACCTTATGGTGATATGAACCAAAAATGTGCCAGAGGGATGGTCTTTCCTTATAATGATGGGTTAATTCACTCACTTCCTCTACGCGAAAATCACTTGAAGGTTATGATAGACAACATTGATGAAAGTTATAAAGGTGTTCCTATTCCCGTGATGACAAATGAAGTTGGTATCCTAGAAGATGCAGTTGGCACTGTAATTCAATGGTCGCGGATCGCAATTGTTCTTAGTAAGGTACATCTTCATTATCCTTTAATTTTTTATCTACCATATATACATTTTCTGAAAATGAGAGAATTCCCTATATGCTCCTATTAAACATCAAAATATTACATTTAGACCGACAAATAAAATATTTTGATGTTTAAGAATGACATATACGACGTTCTCGCTAATTAAAATGAGTTATTAATAGGAACAACAAAGCAAGGCGCCATCACAACAACAAATTCATACCACAAGTGCGCGACCATCAACCACAAAGGCTGTTATGGAAAAAAACATGCCTAACCAAAAGATCAACAAACCAAGGCCCATAGAGTCACTTCGTGACCTTTTGAAGACCAACCTAATGGTTCATGTAGTAGCCGATGCTGGACATCTCGAAGCTGGGGCGTTTGATTTTTCAGTTACATACGAAGAATATTATCGTTTGTTGAAAAAACAAACAGCTGATTTGTCCATCATAACAACTTGGCAGATGTAAGTGCATTCAAATTTTACTATTACTTTTTTTTTCCATGATATTTTCTTTGAGGCTGCTTATAAGATATTACTTGATTGTAATTTTTTTGTAATATTGTTTGTAGCCTTCTACACTTAATGCTTCGGAAACATATGGGAAAATGTGCTTTCCTAAACCCATATAAGATTCTTGGGAAAGCATGTCAGGAAACTCCGATTGATGTCGTCAATTATCTCGTTGATGCGATGCAACTTCATCATGGAAAATCGTTTTTATCGCACCCATACCTGCAAAAGTATCATAAGTTGCTATCTATATTAATAGTTATTTGTTTTTTTTTTGTTTTTTTTATACTAAAATTTCAAACCAATACTAGTACGTATTGGGTCCTCTTGGTGATTTGCCCTTCAAATCATATTGTATACATTTTGGATTCTCTGATGAAGCCTATGAAAAATCTTGTTGACAACTAGTATCTGCTCAAACTTTTAGAAAAGTAAGAAATTTCTTAATGACATAAAAATAACATTCTTTCTATAAGTTTGAATACAACTCTGCTGCTTGTTTATTTTTAGGGCTTTTGAGAGGTATGAAAAGAACACATCAATTCCAATTGTATGGAAGCTCACTGAGTATTTTAATTTAATCTTACTTATCCACTAGTTAGATGTAGTTTCGTTTGTGATTTATGTTTACCTTCTATTTTAATTTTAGTGCAACCAAGCCGGTGTATTGGAACGTGAGCTGAGTGGGCATTATATAATAAATTGGATCTTTGATTTTGTGTTGAACAGACAACATGGATTTCCGAGTAGAGTAAGTTCTTCTAAAGCAAGAAACAAATTTTTTCGTTATTTAGTAGTTTTAATTTTATTTTCATATAGTTTGGTACCCTTTGGAATGACAAAACTGCATTTGAGGAAAAGGCGTTGGTTACAACTGTTGCTACATGGGCCAGAGAATTTCTGAAAAAATTTATGAATGATGTTGTTTAAAAGTGCATATAAGGTTAGTTGTTAATCTTTATAACATCCTACTTTTAGTTTAATGATTGTTTGCTAAAGTCAACTCTTTTAAAATGCTAGACAAAAAACTAATTATTTGTTGTGTTTTGTTTTTCAGTGAGGATGAAGGATAGCTGTGTGTTTTGTTTTTAAGTGAGGTTGAAGGATAGCTGCACACTTGATTATTGGACAATACCTCTCCATGGGAAACAATTTCTTTTTGAATTTATTTAGTAAGTTTTATTTATGTGTATGAAATGACCAAATCAAGGAGTTTTTAGCAGCACTTAAGCATGTTTTTGTTGATGACTAAATGATTGGTTATTTAGCATGTTTATATTAATAAATTTGTTCATCAATGAACAATTTTTGTTTGTTTTGAATGTGTGCTTTGGATGCAAGTATCAGTTTGTGCTTTTTATCATTTGTTTTCATTATATTATGGTTATTTGAATAAAGTTTGTCACCAATTTATTTTTTATAACCATGCTTTTTGGTACCGCCATTATAGTTTTGCAAGGCTGAAAAAGACCCGGTTATTTGAATGGAACCGGTCCATATTTAATCCTTATATGACCCGGTTTAGGAATTGGAACCGGGCTCATTTAGCTATATATGACCCGGTTTTGTATGGTTGAACTGTGTCCTAATCTTCATATATGATCAAACATTAGACGTTATATTCCTCTTATATGTCCCGGTTTTATGAACAACCGGGTTCTTTTGTGTCAGATAGGACCCGGTTCTAAAACCGGGTTCTATTTCTTTTTTCATATAGGTCTCGCTGGATTTAGGACCCGGTTCAAAACCGGGTCTTTTAATTGATTTAACCGGGTCCTACAACCTTTTTTGTAGTAGTGAAAATCTAAAGAAATCATTCATAAGTACTGAATGAGTACAAAAAAATGACTTATTTTGAAATGAAAAAATATTAAGGACTAAATGTGTACAAAAATATTAAGGACTAAATATGTACAATATGAGAAATATATTACCCTATTAAGTCATTTTCCCGGATAACTTGGACTAACCGGTTATAAGGACTTAATGTGTACAGTTTAACAAGTTAAAGGAGTACATGTGGACGAAAAAAAACTCAGCGACCAGATGTGTACAAATCGAAAAATATATTACCCTTTTAAGTCATTATCCATTCTATAAATTTGTTACCAAGTATTAGAATCGACGACATTATTTACACGTGGGTTTTAGAAATTTGTTCTTCGTGTCAATTCTTATAAACACAAATTTAAATTCTTGTTTTCTGTCTTATGTGTGTCAAACACGTGTTTAAACAGACTAGTGGTGTATCCGTGCAAAGCGGCGGCAAGAATGGTTTCTTTTAATTTAAAAAATCCGACAAATAATTTTGTTTTAGAAACATGTCGTATTCGTCGCCGCTTAGGTTTGTCGGTTAGCCTTGGTTCTTTAGAGTATGAAAAATACAATGCTATAACTGGTTAGTTTTTAAAAAATATTGAGCATCAATGGATAGTTTTTAAGAAATATTGAAAACGATTAGTTTTTTGAAGAAAAAGAATGAAAGTGAAATGCTAATATTGGTTGGTTTTTCAAAAAATATGAGTGTGCAAAGTGCAATGCTAACAGCGGTTAGATTTTCAAAAAAAGAAAAAAAAATGAAAATGCAATGTTACAATTTGTTAGTTTTCAAAAATATTGAATGTTAATTCTATGATTGGTTAGTTTTTAAGGAAACTTGAAAATGTTAGTTTTGTAGAGTTCTTTTGTATGGTCAAGTTAACATAGTAGCCATCAGATAAAAAAAAAACCATTGTGCTAGGTATACTTTCCCTTGTTCCCTTCTTTGATTCATTTTTCAACTATACTTTTTTCATTTAATTAATTAATTACATAAAGGTTTTTAATGACTATTTGACAAATAGTTATTTTATTTTATTTTATATATTATGAAGTAAAAAGAATAAGTAAACCTTGGGGTTTTTTATTTATTTTTCCTTACATGTTTTTATTGGAATTTTAATTTTGTAACACAGTAGCAAACTATAGCTATTTAACATACTTGTTGACAAAAATATATTACAGTCAAATAGTAATAAATACACGATTAAAGTTGTAAAAGATGCAAAGAAACTAATCAAGTCCTAAATCTTCTCTTCAGATTCAAGTGTCAATTAGTTTTATCCTCATGCAAATGCTCGTGATTATTTCCCTCTGTATACATACATACAGTTACAAAAGATGCAAAGTTAGTAAAATGTGTTGCAAGTAGTAGAATAGAACAATGCAATGTACATTCATATAATATCTTATCATAATATATAATTGTTATTTAAAATACAAAAGATAAGGATTCCTTATGTCATTTTTATGGGTGTTAGGGTCCACCCGAGTTTAAAAGCCATAACCAGTTCCAATTGTCTATTTTCATTTCCAACTGCTTCGATACCCACTTTACCAGCTCTAATACTCAGAATCGAACCGGCACCGGTTCCTATATATCGGTCCGGTTTCCGGGTCTCAAAATCCTTCAATTCTGATTTCCGGGTCTGGGTCCATTCGGGTCGAGGTCGGACCAACTTTCATCCCTACATGACAGCCACTATGCAAAATAATAGAGAAAGAAACCAAAGCCATATGAGCAAAGTAGAGTCGAGCAAGATCGGCCCAAATGAAGAGTTGTATCCAAATAAGCACAAGCAACATATGAGCAAAGCAGTCGAGAGAAACACTAAACCACACCTGATCAAAATGAAGCAAGGGCAAAACTGTCAAAAAGGGCAATAAATCCGTTAAATTTTTTTGGTAACTCCTTATTAGTGATTTTCTTTCGTAACTGATTTTTAAAGATCAAAAAATTATGGTAAGTTATAGAAATATGTAATTCAAAGATATACCTGGGGTTGGAATTTTATTTTCAAGATCTCATAGTGATACAAATTCAGCCGAATACTCACCTTCTGACAGAGTTCCCAGGTAAGCAATAAAATCCTGCAAAGTTACATTTGATTCAGGAGATTTGGTTCTTTTGCTTCTAATAAGCAAGAATACTTTTGAAGTATTATGTTCTTTACAAAATAGAGTCTAATATTTACATTTTAATTAGGTATCAATAGCGTTATTTTAAGGTGCAAAATCAAGTTTAAAGAATTTATAGTCATAAAACTCTAGCTATTCATTTGTATTATTTGGATTTTCCAAAATTTGTTTCTATTTCACTTTTAGATAGTTGTAAAAGCATGTGGTGATCAAATATTTGAGCAGTTATAGGGGTTGTATGAATCAATTTTTGCTTTTGTGGCCATTTAGCAATCTAAAAAAATATTTCACCCTTTTACTCATCCATAATTGCTACTTTACACCAAAAACCAGAAAACATACAAATGAATAGAAAAAGAAAATGATTTGATTACCTTCAAGCAAATGAGTAAGCTGAAACACATGACGTCCAACACCTCTCATGATGTTAAATATAAAATGATTGATCGGCGCAACTTTTGTTGTTGGTTTCCTTTACCTCCAACACATTAAACATGTGTTTGTCATATACAAAATCTAGAAAAGTGAAAAAAAATCGACGTGATTTAGAGAAAAAGTAGAACAAGAGATGTATTGCTTCACGATATGCTATATGAATGATCTAGATCTGAATAAGGATCAAAATAAGAAAATAAAATAAAATTGAGAACAAAATATTTTGCTAAAATAAGCAAACAGAAAATTGAAACATATTGGTAGAAAATTCAAGAGTTTTCTATGGATTAATGACAATAACTATAAATGTAGAGTCTATGAGAATTCTCCTGGTATAAAATGATACCTCATACATAAAAAAGTTTATTGCTCAGACTATTATTGGGTGATTGATTGAATGTGATTGCAGATAAGTAATTTGAACATTACTTTGAAGGGTAAGACCCTTTTACTGATTTTTCATATAGCTTCAACCAAAGCCAATTCTCGATTTTGAAAAAGGTAAGGAACAATCCTCCATAAAAAGCCTTCACGAAAATGAAAGTTGGATACTTTTTTCTAGACCTGATACATTCAAAATGTTGTTTCCGGACCAGGTACTTAAAGAAAATAAAGGTTGTTGCTTTTTAAATAATATCTTATATAACCTGCATAATCAACACAAAATTATGGTTAACGAATATGTAAATCAGGGTTGACTCACAATTAAACCCCACACCATCTCCAAACCATAACTCTATATCAACAAATAACTCCATACACTAACCCACCCTCAATTTTCAGGAACTGACTTGATAAAATTCAAACAATAAAAAACATAATAGACCAGATTTATGTAATATGAATTGGAATTCGAGTTCCATAAAAAAATAAGAACAAATTAGAAGCCCTTCATATGGAAGATACAAAGGAGAGGAGAAAGAAAGATAAAGTTGATGGAGAGAGAGAGAGAGAGAGAGAGAGAGAGAGAGAGAGAGAGAGAGAGA